TATATATTCTTAATCAGGGCGACAAGCTGAGTCGATTTGGCCCTGTCCGTCTGTCCGTAGGTCCGTCCGTTCGTTTGTCCGTATGTATGAACGCGGCGATCTCAGAAGAAATAATAGCTAGTGGCTTCAAATTTTTGAAATTTACGTTTTTATAGCGCGGATATTGAGTTTAACTCCAAAAATCGAGAAATCATCCAATTATTTTTTTATCGATTAAAAACCTTATCGAAAATCAGTAATTTAATTATAACTGTTAAGCTGGAAATTTTAAATATATATTCAGATGCATTTTATACAATTTTGATATAATTCACCTTCAGTAAATTTTAAAGGCTTGTAAGGGATTTCACAAAAAAAGCAAGCGAATTTCCGAAAATTAATATGAAAAGGAATGTCAAAATACTTTTGTCCACCCAAAGAATGCGAGTCTGCCATGCAAATAATAATAGAAATAATGAGTTATGTTATTAATGTATCAGTTTGGTCCCTTAAGGCTCATAATCTTTGTTCTCTCCTAAAAATATAGTGGGCAACGTTCCCTTTAAGTTTTTAAGTTTTCAAAATACTTTTGTCCACCGTTATAGTTGTTAGAAATTTATGTAAAAAGAAAATTAACAAACCAAAATATTTTTCTGTCGCTTATTATTCAATAATTCTTCGCGCCTTTCTGCTTACACAAGAAACTCACATACATAGGCATGCACGTATAAGAGCTCATGGATTGCAGTGCACAGTGTTCGCGCCCATAGGTAAAAAACAAACAAGTAAGAAAGCTCTAGTCGAGACTGCTTGACTACGAGATCCCCTGAACTTTTTTCTTTTTTTTTTTTTTGAACCCTTTAGCCCTTTTGGACTATCTTCATGAAACACTCAGATTATGATTATAGTATGAACATTCATGCATTGGCCTAAGCTCAAGGGGTGGTCAATTTTAACCAAAATCGAAATTATATAATACATACATCGAAATTATATAATACATAAATCTAATATATATTAACGATGTAGGAGATATAGTTTTATAACTGATTTTCGATAAGGTTTTTAATCGATAGCCAAAAAAACGGGATGAATTTTCAATTATTAGCGATAAACTCGAAATGTGCGCTATACATACGGACATTTAAAAAGAAATTTAGTTTTTGGAAACAAAACTCAATTTGCGCGTAATATCTCATATATCTTCGACGCACTCAAACATACGGACAGGGCTAAATCGGCTCACGCTTTGGCAGTGTTGCCAGATTAGCTATATAAATTTTCAAAATGCTATTATCTATAAATCTAGCTATTTTACAAAAGAACAGGGAACAGTAGTTTAATTATACTTTTTTTTATACGTTTTAACTTTAAATGGACATAGATACTTACTACACTATGTACCAAAATTTAATTCAATAGCTTAAGCTGTCAATTAATTTGTTCAACACATGTATGTTATTTACGATTTGTCACGACAAAAATCTTAAAAATTGATTGCCTGATGACATCAACATGTATAAATTATTCAAGTTTTTTAGGGTAGGACAACGTCGTTAACGAGTTTAAAAATTGTGAAGAACTGAATTCCTTAATATCTAATCTTTAGAAAATGTTACTTACATTTGTTAGCGCATCGGGGTTTGCTTGGTGTCGAAGGAGTAGATTGATTACCATTGTATGACCTTGTTGTGCGGCCTGATGAAGGGGAGTATAACCAACATTTGTTGTCATTTCAATATTCGCATCGTTTTCGAGAAGAAATTTTATTTCATTTATTTGGTTATAGTGAGCTGCAATGTGAAGTGGCGTATAGCCAGCTTTGGTGCGCTCTGAAATATTGGCTCCGTAATTGAGCAAGATGTGTGACACCTGCACGTGCCCCTCCTGAGCAGCCAAATGCAATGGGGTCAAACCATTTTTCGCTGAAACGTTGGCATTGGCACGCTGTTCCAGCAGCAATTGAACCATATCAACGTGTCCCTCCTGTGCAGCCAAATGAACCGGTGAAAATCCCGATTTACTTGTTGCGTTAACATCGGCACCATGCTGCAAGAGTTCCTGTGCTGTCTCTAGGCTATTTTTTTTAGCAGCGATATGAAGGGCACTATGGCCATTGCGTGCGCTTATTTGGGCAGAAGCGCCTTTCTCTAGTAGCAGTAACACCACCGGCTGGTGATCATAATGAGTGGCAACATGCAAAGGTGTTACATCGTTTTTACCTCGACAATCAATGATGGCTCCCTTTTTAATCAACAATGCGGCTACCTTAGCCTTACCATACTTGCTAGCCAGATGTAGTGGGGTGAATCCTTTTTTTGTTTCAGACTCTAACTGTGCCCCATGTTCAATTAGTAACTGGCATACTTCTTCCTGGCCCTCCTTCGCAGCAATATGCAAGGCAGTATACATATCCTTAGTGCAAGCATTTACCTGTGCACCATGCTGCAACATGAGCATTATAATATCAATATTGCCCAGACGAGCGGCTACGTGCAGCGGCGTTTGGCCCTCGCGAGCAACGGCATCCACTTGCGCTCCATTTCGAAGCAATATTCGAATAATATCGGTCTAAAAAAGACAGGTTTCACATGAATATTAGCAAGTAAGAAAACTCTAGTCGCGGTGCCGGACTAGAAAATCCCCTGAACTACGATTGATCTGTGTTTTTAAATGTATGCGCTTACAGTGATTGTATTATTTCAATGAAATTAAACAATTAGTCGAGTTGCACATATATATACAGTGGCTCACACCTTATTTCGTGAAGCAGCATAGTAAAGCTTTGAAACCGTATTCCCGCTAAACCAGTAAAGATATCCAAAAAATTTAAATGAG